TAAAGCAAGTGAGAAAGAGCTTGCCTTCTCCAAGCCTCTCCCCCTTCTCCTTCAGCACCTCAACCCCTTTCTGCTTCACCTGTGCAGATGCGGAGTATTGAACTCCAATGCTTGGGTGAGAGTTCAGGTACTTCACCACACGCTCAGCTGCATCCACCTGCTCCTCTGATGGATTCTGCACCACCCTAGCCAGCTGCCCAACCGAGAAAGAGATGTCGGGCCTCGTATGAACTGCTGCATAAAAGAGGGTTGTAACCTTGCGCTCATTCTCAATCCCATACTTCTCCCCCAGCTCCTTGATGAACTTCTCCTGATGCAGCTTCAACCACCTGTGATTAGGGTCCCTCTCGACATGCATCCCGAGGTAGTACTTTACCTCCCCAAGATTCTTGCACTTGAAGTTCCCCATCAGCTAATGCTGCACCTTTTGGATCTCCTTCATGCTGCTGCTGAAGAGAAGAATGTCGTCCACGTAGACCAGAAACAGCACCAGCTTCTCCCCCTCGCCCTTGAGAAAGAGGCTCTCATCACAGCTGCTGGTCCTGAATCCCATCTCCTCTAAAACAGCTGCCAACTTCTGGTACCAGCAGCGTGGCGCCTGCTTCAAGCCGTAGATGGACTTTTTCAGTTTGCACACCCTGCCCGTACCATCCTCATACCCAGGCGGCTGCGTCATGAACACCTCCTCCTCTAAAATCCCGTTGAGGAATGCCGTTGATATATCCATCTGAATGATGAATTTCTCACTAACGGCTGCATTCTTGTAGATGGTGACCTGCCCCTTGTCGTCAGTCTTGATCCTTAGCACCCACTTGCATTGTACCGCTTTCTTCCCCTCGGGCAGCACCACCAGTTCCCAAGTCCCATTGTCTAGCAGGCTCTGGTACTCAGCATCCCTAGAAGCCAGCCACTTGTCTCTATCTGGTCCAGCTAATGCCTCCTCCATGCTAGCTGGTTCCTCTGGTGCAGGGGCAAGAAAGCAGTACGCAGGCTCATCCTCCTCATCCGGGTCATAGCCATGCGGTAGAATCAGCAATGCCTCCTCGGTCCCTAGCTGTTGCTCTGCTGCATCAGCTCCTGCAGTCAGCTTCATTGTTGCCATGCGGGTGCGTCCTGGCCTAGAGACGGGTGTCTCCCATCCCTTCATTACAACACCCTTTGGCTTCCTCCTTTGTGGTAGCTTAGGCACCTTAGCTTTGCCCTGCTGCTGCTCTCCTCCCTCAGATTCAGCAGCTTCCCTGATGCTACCACTAGTCTCTACGTCACCTCCTCCATTAGCACGTGCCTCCTGCACCTTCTCTCCATCACCACCCTCTGCAGCTACCTCCTCTCCCTCCTCCTGCACACTAGGAGTCAGGTCCAGCTGCATGGTGATCTGCTCCATCTCCTGTGATATCTTGGCCTCTGGCTGTTGCTTCCAGCCCCCATACATCAGGCCCTCAACAAACTTCACATCCCTGCTGTCAAACAGCACACCCTTGCGTGGTTCCCACAGCAACCATCCCTTGCTCTCGGCAGCCAGCCCCAAATGCACACACCAGATTGCACTCGCCCCCAACTTACTGCGGTAGGTCTTGGGGACGTGGGCGACTGCCATGCAGCCAAACACCCTCAGCATGTCCACCGGTGGCTTCCTCCCAAGCCACCTCTCCAACGGCACCCACAAGTCATCCCCAACCTTGGTGAGTACCCTGTTCCTAGCCACGGTAGCGTGCCGAACAGCATGGGGCCACATCGAGTTGCCCAGCCCAGATTCTATGAGCAGCGCCCTAGCTGTCTCTAGAATAGTCCGGTTCGCCCGTTCTGCTACACCGTTGGACTGTGGGGTGTAAGCCGTGGTCAGCTCCCTCTGAATGCCCTGCTTCTTGAGCCAAGCCGTCATCTCAGCTCCAAGGAACTCACCACCCCGGTCTGTCCTAATCCGCTTCACCACACACTCCGCCTGCTTCTCCACGAACGGCAGCCACTCGTCCTGAATCGTGGAGGCGGCATGATCTTTCTGCTTCAGCGGATACGCCCACATTAGCCTGCTCCAGTCATCCACTATGGTTAGGAAATACCGCTCCCCCTTGTGCCCTTGCACCGGCAGCGGCCCCACCAAGTCCATGTGGACCAGCTCCAACGGCTTCTTGCTCCTGCCAGCCACACTATGGAAGGGGAAACGGGTAAACTTTGAAAGGAGGCAATTTTCACAGTTATCATCGGGAGGTTGTCCGTTCAGCTTCAAGCCCTTAACGGCTCCATCCTTCTCCAGCTGCTTCAGCAAAGGCATTGCCACATGCCCCAAACGTCGGTGTGCCGTTGCCCAATCCGTCTCCCCAGATCTGGCCGACACTTTCACACCAACTCCTCCAACGGCGTTGCACTCCCCCTGGGATGCAGACCCCTCTCCAGCCTGCCCCCCACCGTGCCATGCCAACGCCGGCAGCTGCCACATAGATCTGTACATGTCCTTGCTCTCGTGCAGATCCCAAAGCACCCGATTGCCCAGCTTCCCCTTATAAGTGCGTGCCCCATCCGTGTTGGTGTTCACCCCAGCCTTGCCAAGCTTACGGAGGGAGATAAGGTTGGCCTTCAGGTCGAGGACGAGGAGAACGTCGTGCAGCACCACCGGCTTGCCATCCGCTCCTTTAAACGCAGCTCGTCCCGCACCAGCCACCTTCAACATGTGTCCAGAGGCGGAGCACACTTCATTGATCGGTGCAGCGCGTACTTCGTCCAGCAGGTCCTTGCGCGGCGTCATCGTCCAAGCAGCGCCTGTGTCCAACACCCAATAGTCCAGGGGGTGCAGCTCTGCTCCAACCTTAGCAGATGCGTCTCCTTGCTCCCCCTTGTCTCCCACATGGAAGAATTGGCCCGCGGTGCGCTCCTTCTTCTTCTCCGCACCGCCGTTGCCCTTCGGGTTGTTGTCGGACGAATCAGCAACCATGTTGGCGCCGTTTTTCTGGTTCCTCCGCGCGCCGCCATCCTGGTGACGATTCTGGGGGGTCCATCCATCGGGTTTCTTATAGCACAAAAACCAGGGGTGCCCTTCCTTCTCACAATACCAGCAACTCCCTTTCATTTTGCCACCAGCACCCGACTTGCCCCCTTGCCAGATTTCGCACCGCGACCCCAACCGGTACCTCCTTGTTGGTCGTTGGAGTCGTCGTCCTTCTTTGCACCGCGTCCAGCACCACCGAAGCCACGTCCTCTGCCACGTCGGCTCCCTTGCATCCCGTACCCGCTGCTGCCGTCGTCTCCACCCCTCAGTTGGCGGCGACGGAAATCCTCCTCCAGAATCTTTGTCCGCACCCACTCGAGCGTCCACAAGCTCTGGTTCTGCGGCAGGCTCAATCCGCTCGTAAATTGAAGCCACGATTCCGGCAGCAGCGACAGCATCTTCAAGCACTTGGTCTGCTCCGGGTAGGTGATTCCCGCGATCGCCAGCTTCGCGTAGAGGTCGCGCATCTTGTCCAAGACAGGTTGCACCGGCTCTCCCTCGCTCAGGCGCAACGCGGACAGCTCTCTCTCCATCATGAGCGTTGCGACGACGGAGGTAGGGGCGTGCAGCTTCTTCAATACGGTCCACGCCTTCGGACCGCACTCAACCTCCGGCAGCAGGTGCATGACGTGGTGACGCTGATTCAGCTCCAAACTCTGCGACATCAAGTAATAACCAGCCGAGGCGCGCTCGTCCCAATCTTCCTGCAGGGCGGGGTCACTCGGTCTAGGCTCCTCCCCAATCATTAGTTTCAGCAATCCAATCTGACGGAAGTAGAGTTGCATTTTCCAGGCCCAATCATCATAGCCCTCACCATTGAACTTCTCGACGGTGAAGTTCTATCTTCCGCACAGTAGGCTTCAATGGACTTCCACATTTTCCAGGCACATCTTGGAAAATCTGACTGTGCTGTCTATCTTTCGTTTTAGGCACATTGAAGCCTACTGTGACTATAACAAGTGGTATCAGAGCCCCTTGGAGCAGCTACGACGATGGATGGACCAGAAGAGAGGCGTGGCAGAGGTGCTGGAGGCAATAGAGAAGCCCAAGCACAAGGCCAAGCCCGTGATTCAGCCGTGGCGCCCGTGCAACCGACTCTTGGACCTTCTAGGGACGAACCAAGAGTGTTCGGGCTTGACAAGTTCAACGGCGACAACTTTGCTGAGTGGTCCTTCAGAATGGAGAACGTGTTTGACCACTATGACCTGCTGGAGGTGATGGAAGGAACGGATAAGCGTCCCGAGAACGACCCGGAGAAGATTCCGTAGGTGCGGAAGAGCGCACAAGGCTATCTCCTACTTGGGCAAGCGTTGGGGAGCAACCAGATCCGTCACATCAAGCCTTTCCAGCGTGAACCAGAGAAGCATGGGCTGCTCTCAAGGGTGTACACGCTCCTGCAACAGCGGCGGTAGCTGTGGTGTTGGAACGGCAAATGGCGACGCTACGAATTGAGGAAGATGAACCCGTGGAAGACAGACTGCATAAATTTATCGACTTGTTGACCCGGCTTGAGGGAGCGGATCTCAACTACAGTGAGCTCCAAAGGAAGACCAAGTTGCTGGCCTTACTCCCAGAGTCGTGGTCCTCGCTCATCATTAACCTCAACCGTGATCTGCCCCGTCTCTCGCTTGAAAACGTGATACGCGCGATCCTACAAGAGGACTTCCGCCCTTTGCCGTAAGTTGGCGAGTGCGATGGCGCTGGGGGAGCAAGCATCGGCCGTGGATATGGCCGAGGAAGAGGCAGAGGACGAGGGGGAGGAAGGTTTGGAGGCAGCAACTTTGGTGGAGGCCGCGGAAATGGCGGATACGGCAGCGACGTCAAGAGCTACGGTCGCGGTCGCGGACGATTTGACGGCGAATGTCACTATTGCGGCAAGAGCGGACATATGTGACGCGAGTGCTTCAAACTTCCTGAAGGATGGACTCCTGCTCAAGGCCAAGAAGGTAGAGGAGCAGGAGGAGGGAGAGGAAGAGGCCGTGGAGGCCGTGGCGGTCGCGGAGTTGGAGCAGCGAATATGAAGAACGAAGATAACGAGAAGGACTCGAAGGACGATCGGTACCCGGGTCTTTTCTACTTCGTGTCGACGCAAGTACCAGCTGGTCCAGAGAAGGATGAAGACCTTGAGGAGCCAGCAGCTGTGGGGAAGGTGACCCTACACCCCCTGGACTTTTGGGTGATTGATAGCGGCACTACATATAGCATGACACCTCGCCCCGACTTGCTCACCGAACTTGAGCCGTCACCGGTGAAGCACGTAACATCGGCTTTGGGGCAGCGAGCAGAGGTGAAAGGCATGGGCAAGGCCATGTTTAAGGGTGCTGATGGGAACATGGTGGGCCTCAAGAACGTGCTTTGGGTGCCCAGCCTTGCTGCGAACCTGATTTCCGTGCGGCGGTTGGCGAAGGCCGGCATGGACACGAACTCGAAGGGAGCCAAGACCTACACCGCAAGGATTGGCGACCAGATTCTTTGGGACCTTCATGAGGATAGGGATGTCTACAACGAGATGTGGCAGATCCCTGTGGTCCCTATGCCTAAGGAGAGGCAAGTGGCAGCAAGCGTCAGCACCAAGGGTAACGCTGTTGGTAGCGGCGATAGCGCGGACGCTCGTGCTAAAGAGAAGGAGCTCAAGAAGAGCAAACCTGGAGGGACCAGCAAGCTGTGTGAACCTAAGGAGAGAGGTGCAGCAGCCAAGGAGCAGCACAAGGGTGAGGAGAACCCCGAGGCAGCAGCGGAGAAGGACAACAGAGAGAGCATGTGGGGCGCTATTGCGGGCGCCGCATTCTCCAATCCGACTTCGGCTACGGGGGAGTGTGATTGGTTGACTTTGCATCGGCGCATGGGGCATGTGGCCCTGCCCATCTTGCAGCAGCTAGTGAAGAATCAGATAGTTGCTGGCATACGTGTGAAGGGGGAGCCCGATGAGGTGCTTGGCTGCCCGACGTGCATGCAAGCCAAGTTCACCCGTTTCCCGTTCTCTAGTTCGGAGGCAACGGCTAAGGCACCACTTGATGAGGTGGTGATGGACGTGGTGGGCCCCCTGAAGCTTGGAGCTGCTGGAGCAGAGTACTTCTTCACGATTGTGGACGTCTACACCCGCATGACTTGGGTGTATGTGCTGGCCAAGAAGAGTGACGTGGCTGAAACGTTGAAGATGGATTGGTTTCCGATGGTGGAGCGGCAACAAGACCGTCTAGTCAAGTCAATCCGCACCAATCAAGGAGGAGAGTTTTTGAGCAAGGAGTTTGGGTTGTGGCTGAAGAAGAATGGTATTCGGCACTCCCTCACCATGCCATACTCCCCTGCAATGAACAGCATCGCCGAGAGGGCGAACCGCACAATCACGGAGGCGGCACGCGGGTTGCTCATTGAAGCCGGGCTACCCGACTATTTCTGGCCTGATGCGGTGCGGAGCGCGTGTGTGGCCAAGAACAGAGTTTTGACTCATGTGGGAGCAGACAAATGGGTGCCCTATGTGGAGTGGCTTGGAAGGAAGCCAAAGGTGGATATGCTTCGGGTGTTCGGGTGCATGTGCATGGCGCTCGTACCTAAGCATCTTCGGCACAACAAGCTTGGTGCCAAGGCGGTGTGGGCCGTGCACTTGGGCATGGCTCAAAACAGCAAAGGGTGGCTTCTTTGGGACCCATTCACCAAGAAGTTCTTGGTGAGCAGGGACTGCAAGTTCATGGAGAACTTCATGTACAAGGATTGGAAGGCGGAGAATGAGGCGAAGATAGGCGTGCGGTTTGGAGAGGTGAAGAGATTTCGGCTTGGAGCATGTGGAGCTTCCTTTGGAGCTGAGCAGCGGCAGCACCACCACAAGGCAATCTTCCCTTGTGAATGGGGGAGAGGAGGCCAAGGATGCAGAGGAAGAAGAGGAGGAGGTGCAGCAAGTGAGCGAGCGTGCACCGACACTCCCTTCCCGCACTACGAGTGCTCCACGGAATAGAGCTACACCGCAACAATGCCAAGGCCTTCAAGACTCTGCAGCTGAGGGGGAATGAAGGGCAAGACGGCCCTAGCTGGAGCGGCAATGATGGTCGGAGACGACGAGGAGAGTGACTACGAGGAGTGTGCCTTCGCATTCTTCTCTCCGGTGGAGATGCCGGGAGAACCAGCAACTCTCAAGGAGGCCTTGGAGAGTGGTGATGCTGAGGAGTGGAAGAAGGCAATGGAGAGTGAGCTGAAGAGCATTGAGGAGAACGACACGTACGAGTTGGTGGAGCTACCGGAGGGGCGTACGGCGATAACGTCCAAGTGGCTCTTCAAAATCAAGTCGGATGCCGACGGCAAGATCGAGCGCTACAAGTCTAGGCTGGTGGCCAAGGGGTACCAGCAGAAGGAGAATGTGGACTACAAGGAGCTGTTTGCTCCTATGGTGAAACCGATGATGCTGCGAACCCTACTCGCGGGAGCCGCGATCAAAGGTTGGGTGGTGAAGCAGCTAGACATCGTAACGGCGTTCCTCAACGGAATCCTCGAGGAGGAGATTTTTATGGCGCAGCCAGAGGGGTTTGACGATGGCAGCGGCAGAGTGTGGAAGCTGAAGAAGGCCCTCTATGGGCTGAAGCAGGCCCCTAGACAATGGTACCTGAAGCTGCGCGAAGTGTTGGAGGAGATCGGCTTCACTCCCTCAACGGCCGATCACTCCTTGTTCATGCTTGGCGAGGGGGAGCAGAGGAGCTTCATGGTGGTCTATGTGGATGACATCCTCATATTCTCTCCCTCCTCTGACCTTGTGAAGGAGGTGATGCTGAAACTTCAAGACAAGTTCAAGTGCAAGTCCCTTGGGGACGTGAACTTTTACCCCGGGTTCCACATCGAGCGTGATGTGGAGAAGCGGTGCATGCGGGTGCACCAACGGAAGTACCTGGAGGCATTGGCTGCCAACTTTGGGCAGAATGAAGGCCATGTGGCTACACCCTTTCCCTCTGGGTTCAAGTGTGTGAAGGGACCAGAGGAGGAGAGCGTGGGTGAAGAAGAGAGGCGCCGATTTCACTCGTTGGTGGGCAGCCTCATGTATGCGGCGGTCAACACACGACCGGACGTCGCGTTTGCTACCGGGCAGCTGGCAAGGGTTGTGCAATGCCCTAATGAGGAGCAGGTAGCAGCTGGTTTGGGGGTGGCCAAGTACCTTGGCCAAACACCGACTGTTGGGCTGCAATACTCGGCAGCGGCGCAAAGGCGCCAAAAGGGCGCGGATGGTGTTGAACCCGAGCGGTTTTTCCTCACTGCCTACTCGGATGCATCATATGCATCAGAACCAGAGAACATGACAAGTTTTGGAGGGTTCATTTGCTGTGTTGGTGGAGGTCCAACTGCTTGGGAGAGCAAGAAGCAGGTTGACCAAGCTTTGAGCTCGGTGGAGTCCGAGTACAAGACACTCTTCCGTGTGGTACGAGAGATTGTGTGGCAGCGGCGTTTGTTGGCTGAATTGGGGGAGGAGCAGCAAGGACCTACCCCACTCCACTGTCACAGCCAGGGAGCCATTGCTCTAGCCAAGAACCCCGTGTTGCATGGCCTGACAAAGCACATGAGGGTGAAGTGGCATTGGACGAGGAGCATGGTGGCCGCGGGTGAAGTTGAGCTGCGCTACGTGAAGACGACGGGGCAGCCGGCAGACATGATGACCAAGAGGCTGGTGGAGCAGCAGCATTGGAAGTGTTGCAAGCTGGTTGGGATGGCTCTGAACTGAGAGGAGCAGATTCTATGGCCAACAATCCGAGGGGGAGTTTGTTGGTGCTTCCCTACGGTTTGCACTCGGATTGTTGTCAGTGTGCGTGTGCGTGCATGCGTGTGTACATGTAGTGGTATGAGTGCATGAAACAAAATATATATTTCATGCTTATAGTGGTGTGTGTATCATGGGTCATGATGTCGAGTGTGTGTGTCGAGTCAATAGCGAGTTATTGCTAGCCGCGTGTTAATGCGGTCATTTGTGTCTCGCGCGCGGTTTCTATTTTGTCGTGTGTCCCGTGCGCGGTTTCTATTTTGTCCTGTGTCGAACGTTCGGCGTGTCGCAGGTGTGTGCAGCAGACCCATCAAGAACTCAAAGATGAGTTTGTGATGGAGAACCCGAGCCTTGGTTGCAAGCTTCAAGTGATTTCGAAGCTGGCCAAAAGGGTACACCTCAAGATATTGAAGATCGTTACATTACAATTTGTAGTGTAACATTTCTATGAGTGTAGGCCCTTGTGGAGGGTAGTTTCGAGACCCTTCTTGGTTGGGGACAGTGTGGCACTGTTCCACATCACTGTACCTCGGCTCTTGGGGTTTGTAGGAGCTGGGAGTCATTCCAGCTCGTTACTCTCCCTAGTGGTTCGTAATTGTGTCTTCTAAGACTATGTTGCTGCCATAGTGCCGTTCGTTCAAACTAGCGCTGTGTCGTCAATTCTGAATGAAATAGTGCGATCCAAATTGTCTATTGTAGGCGACCTTAAGACGCTCCAGGTCCAAGTTGAATGAGGTCGTTTGGAGCTGTGACCAGATCGCTATGATTGTTTAAAGCCGCTGTGCAGAAATCCGACTGTGCACTCTATCTTTTGTTTTAGGCACATTGAAGCCTACTGTGACTATAACATTGGCAACAAGAGCAAACACCTTCTTGAAGTCAACCCCCTCCCTCTGTTGCAAGCCCTTAATCACAAGTCTTGTTTTGTGCCTCTCCAACTTCCCCTCCGCATCGGTCTTCACACGTAATTTTGACGTGCAATCCAATGCGTTTCTTCCCAGGGGCAGATCTGTAAGGGTCGATGTTCCATTCTCCATGAGGCTCTGAAACTCATCTTCCCTTAAAGCCAACCAAGCCTCTCAATCATCTCCAGCAAGTGCTTCCTCCATTGAAGCCGGTTCATGAGGTAAGTTGACACCGAAGCAACAATCTCTCCCTCGGCTCCTTTCTCCTCATCATCTTCCTCCTCCTGGACCAGCAATGCCTTAGGACCCCCAAGCCTTTCATACTTGAGGAAATCCCTTGGGTGAGCAGCTCTCTTGGGCCTCTCCTTGGCTGCACCCTCCTTAGCTCAACAGCGGACAGCACCACGCTTCCCTTGGGTTGTCCGTTTTGGTGGAACTGAAGGGATGGTGTAGGCTACTGCACCTCCTCCCAGGCATCACTTCTCTTAGCTACAGGGGCCTCCTCTTGCTGCAACACTCCCTCCACCTCTGCTGCCTCCCCTTCAGCACCTCCTGTTAGAGATTAAGGACGGAGTCTAAGCGTTTAGGGGCCGAAATAACACAATTTCGTTGGACCTAGTTTCTGGACAAAAACCGCGACTTCACAAGAAACGTCGTCGCCGAAAAGATCACTGTTAAAATCTCACGAAAACCGAGTATGTTGTAGCACTAACCCGTGGCTACAAGACAAGTCCCAATTTGAATCACGTCAAATAGTGAACTAAATCGTGAGTTACGCGCTTCGGCGCACAGGTATGCTGCCATAGAAAATTGACTCAATCACAAATATCCTCACAAGTTCTCACAAGTTGACACACAAGAGAGCTAGAGTTGCACTAAACCAGGTGAGAGGGAAGAGGAGGACGAGAGGGAAGGTCCCAAGGAGTCCCCAACCAAAGGAAACCCCATGCCACACAATTCCCTTCCCCATAGGCAACCCAACTTTGACCTTTGTCACTATCCCAACCTCCACAATCCACCTCAACCCAACTTGGCTACACTCGCCAACCTGGTTTGGCTTCACCCAACCACATGGCAGCATCTACAGTGATGGGTTCGAATTTCCCAACCCCCAAAAGTCTGTACCCCATATTGAGTCACTCCCACAACTTCCAAAGTAGCTGTAACCAAATATATAAGTCAACGGGAGATGTGTGCTGGCCCCGTCCTCGCTTGGGCGGAGCCGACTTCATGGTCGGGTGTAGGGGTGCAGCCGACCTGCAGCAGTGGGCGAGCTGGTCGACGAGGTTGGTCGACCTGCACGGGAGCCACTGCCATGGCGTCGACTTGGTGACGACATCTTGGGGCAGCCAACTTGGCTGGTCGGCTAACGGAGCTTCTGGTCGACTTGGTTGGTCGACCAGACCTAGTGGTCGACTTGGCGGACCTTCTGGTTGACTTGGTTGGTCGACCAGACCTGCTGGTCGACTTGGTTGGTCGACCAGACCTGCTGGTCGACTTGGTTGGTCAACCAGGCCTGCTGGTCGACGAATGAGGGGCCGACGTCGAACTCGACGGAGAGACTCAGGACGCCGAACAGCTGGGCGTCGAGTAGCAGGGCCTCGACATGGAGACGCCGATTTCGGGTAGCCGACTTTGGGGTCGGCTGACAACCAAACTGGTTTACGAAGAGCCGGTCGACCAGGAGCGACGTCAACAAGCAGCTGGTCGACCTGGGGTAGTGGTCGACCTGGTGAGGTCGACTTGGAGTGGTCGTCGACCTGGGTGGTCGACGGGCACGCACGGGAGCAGCTGGTCGTTCCGGTTACCCGGTCGACCATGTGACCTGGGTGGCGAGGTTCCGCGAAGGCATGCGACGGTCGCCCAGGCGAAGTTGGCGAGGACGATCTCGGTGGTGGTATCCCGAGGTCGACCTGGCAGATCAGATGCAGTCGTCAGCACGAAGTTGACTTGGTGTGTGCGCTGTGCAGGTGACGAGGCACTGCACGCCAATCACCTGCGCGCACCTGTGAAGCGGGTGCAATGCTGTACTGCGGGAGCAACGCTGGCACGCCGTCGACTTGCGCTGTTGTCACGCCGTCGACCTGCAGCGTTGGCAAGCCGCGTCCCTGCACTGCTGGAGCGCGGTCGACCAAGTCGTGCTGGCACGCGGTCGACCATGCTGCGCTGGCAGTCGACCTGCTTGCATCCTAGCTCTGATGTAGTCTTGCCTAGCCAACTTCATTGTATCATTGTTGTCAACTTTCTCTAGTGAAACTCTTGCCAATTTGCCCCGTGAACTAGCAAGCAGTGTGTGCACAAGGAAACGACTAA